TATCGTCGTCACGGTCGTTCTCAATGAAAAGTATTAACATTGCGTACGTGAATATCTCGTATGTATTTAATGAAATTGAAAACGACGAAAGAAAAAAATAAGAATAATATAAAACGATAAATACAACGACGAAATTAATTATTTTTAAACGAAAATAAATCTACATTTACGTACATCATACAGTATTTCATTTACGTTTGAACGTAGAAAACGTTGGAATCGGATCTAAATGTTTGATGAAACTGATACGAGAATTATATTGAAGGAAGAGAAAAATATTAAAAGAAAAAAAAAAAAAAAAAAAAAGAAAACAGAAAAAAGAAAAAGAAAAAAGGGGGAAGATCCATCGTTAGATCGCGTTTAATAGGGAAGAAATTTGAGAATAAAAACGTTGACGATTTTTCGATAGCCGGCCTAAAAGTTCCTAATGGACAAACGAACAAAAAGGATATGCCATTGCTGAATCTTGGCAACGGGGGCGGCAGTGGTGGTGGTGGTGGTGTTAGTGGTGGTTCGTTATCCAGTGGAAGTTCCATAGTGACCATCTCTTCCGTTGCAAATTCAGACCCCGATCCTGATTATCGGAATGATCCAACCGGAAATGGAAATGGGAGACATCTAAGGACCGAGAAATGGTATCACACGACCCTACAAATTTCTGTTCCTTTCTTCATCGCTGGAATCGGAACTATTGGAGCTGGTCTTGTTCTCGATATGGTTCAGGTAATTATTATTATTATTTTTTTTTTACAAAACAAATGTACTAACGAAAAAAAAAAAATGAAAAAGAAATGAACCAATCGTTACTCTAATTACGCATCTCGAAAAAAAAAAGAATAATAATTAAATAATCTTATGTTTCAGCACTGGCCAGTATTCAAATCGGTCAGCCAATTACTCATCTTGGTGCCTGCTCTGTTAGGATTGAAAGGAAATCTCGATATGTGTTTGGCATCGCGATTGAGTACTCAAGCAAACTTAGGAAATATGCATACATTACGTGAAATTATAAAAATGATCATTGGTAATATCGCGTTGGTACAAATTCAAGCGATCGTAGCGGCCATTTTGGTAGCAATATTTGCAATAATCGTTGGTGCCATACAGGATACTGTACACCGAAACGAAGGGAGTGCAGTTGTACCCTTCGAATGGAATTATGCTTTATTATTGGCAACTTCAAGCGTTTGCACGGCAACCAGTTCCTGTTTCATTCTAGGTAAACGTCACATTATGTTTATCGATCTATGAATTTAAATACATCGATTATTATTAATGATCGTCAGCTGAATCAATAATCATCTATAAATCAATTTTTATTTCGCGTCTTAAAAAATTCATTATATAATACGAAACTACACCGTAATTGTATACTTTTCCATATGTAATATTAGATAAGAATAGAAAATTAATTTTATGGCAAAAATGAAAAGTATACTTTTTTCGCATGACTGAAGTATTAATGTATATACAGCTTGATATTTGCGCGACGTTGTCAAGTAATTAATCTTAAAATATGTAATTATCTTTAAAATATGTTCAAATAAAAATCTAACGCGGATTTACTTTACAGATCTTATAATGATAGCCGTGATCATGATATCCCATCGATGCAAAATGAATCCCGATAACCTAGCAACGCCGTTGGCTGCATCGGTAGGTGACGTCGTATCGATCAGTGTCCTATCGGCAATAGCCTCTGCATTTTTCGTAAGATTGCAAGAACAAGTTTGGATACTTTACGTCGTCATAATCTGTTATCTTTTATTTTTACCATTTTGGATTTACGTGGTTATGAAAAATAAATACACGAGAAACGTTTTAACGTCTGGTTGGGTACCTGTCTTATCTGCACTGTTCATCAGTGGGTATGTGTATCAATGATTATTAATTAATTATAATCAAAACCAAAGAATATTAACTATCCAAAAATTTCAAGCAACATTATACCTAATATACGTAATTATGATTTTAGCCTCGGTGGATTGATCCTAAACGAAGTTGTTGACAAATTCAAAGGATTCGTAGTATTTCAACCTATTATAAATGGAATTGGTGGTAACTTGGTGTCAGTTCAAGCATCTCGAATCTCAACAATGTTACATCAAACTAGTATTTTGGGTATATTACCTCCACATGCGAAAATGTGGGTTGCTCCGTGGACAGCTCTATTCAAAGGAGGTATAAAACAAATATACATATACAAACATACATACATACATACATACATAAATACATATATACATATATTTTATTGTATGTATATAGTTCTAATATTAAATATTCGTTCATTTACAGCACCGTATGCCAAAACTGCGAGGATATTAATTGGAATGGCGATTTGCGGTCAATTGGTATTCGTATTTGCGGCGGATTATATCAAATGTCAGAGGTCGACTGTGGATGCTTATTTTGTTGTTTCTTATATCGTAGTATCTACTTTACAAGTGAGTATTATATTTACTGTTTAATTACGTATATTACATATACAGATATACACACCAACACATATATACTTATCATATATCTCGAAATTCTTTAAAGAAATTCAATATATCATTAATATATACACAATTTGATGATTCTTGATCGATAATTAATAATACTTGTAATCATTTTTAGGTAATGCTGTTGCTCTATATAGCACACGTAATAATTCATGCAATGTGGAGGCATAAAATAGATCCAGACAATTCTGCAATTCCCTATTTAACGGCATTAGGTGATCTAACGGGAACAATGTTCCTAGCGTTAGCCTTCTGGTTCTTAACATCGATCCATCAGGAATATCGTTCCTGCGAGGATCTCGATGTTGTTAATGATTCAACATCGATTCCAACATAAATTTTCTCATTCGATTGAGAAATTCTCAATGTTGATTATAATGTATATGATAGAAAAAAAAAGAAAGAAAAAAAAAAAATAACTGACAGTTAGATGATTCTTCTAACAAATCATAGATTATATTCTAATAGAGCCCGATTCAAATATACGTAGTTTGGTATGTTCAATTTAAAAAAAAAACAAAAAACAAAAAAACAACAAAAAATTAGAACATTGATCTGAACTCTATTGAATAGGGTATGGAATTCTTAACAATCAATAGAAATTTCTGACAAAGAAGGAGAGCCATATAGATAGCTAAATAGATAGATAAATAGAGATTCTTTGTTTTGATTAGAATCCTGTCAATTGCAATACTCACAAACAACAATTACTTACATACGTCTAATTGCATGTTCGTTTGTTCGTGGTTATACTAATCTCTTTCTCTACTCAGAAATTAACGATAATATCTATTCTCCGCATTGTGATATCGTGTGGGATAGATAAAAAAAAAAAAAAGAAAAAAAAAGAATAAAAAAAGAAAAGAAAAGAAAAAAAAAGTGAATTAAACGAGTAGGAGATCTTTTGAATGCAGTATAAAACGTTATAAATAATTAAATAAATATACGTATGTATATATGTAAATTAATTAATTAATTAATCGATCAATGATATAACTACCTAGTCAAAGGATATTTCTTAAAGACGATAGAAATATAATGCAAGAGCTCGAAAAAAAATATGGATACAAGTCGAATGGATTTATCGCTAATAACTATAATATTATCGTTGTAAACAAATTTTTAAGCCTGAAAAGAGAAAGAGATAGACTTTTACCCGAACTAACGATGTTTATAACGATGTTTATTATTATTATTATTATTATCAATATTAGTAATATTATTATTGAAAATAAAGAAGATAGTGATAAGGTGGAAAAAAAAGGGAATAATATTGCGGGAAAAACATTGTCACAATAAATTGAATAAATGAAGGAAAAAAAAGGAAGATACAAAAAAAAAAAAAAAAAAAGAAAATGAAAAAAATAAAAAATAAAAAGAAGATGAAGAAATATGAAATTGTGAAATTCTAGATACCGATCGTCTCGTATGATTTTCTTATCTACAAAGAAGAAAACGAGCAATGATTAAATCGCACTGCCTATTAGTATCGTCATGTCCACGTCTAATTACATAATCGACATTATCAAATGACGTTAGGTAACGTTATATACATTTTTTGACATAGACAGACGCGATAATCTATTTTTATGGGATGAAAGGAAAAAAGAAAAAAAGAAATTAGGAAAGGAAGAAAAAAAAAACAAAAAAAAAATATAAACACATTTTTTTTTAACAAATCTGACCGTCACGTAGATCAGCTTGAATTAACTATTGGATAAATAAAAGTAAAAGAAAATAAAAGAAAAAAGGATTACCAAAATGTCTTATCGAAAAGTTCTAGTATTATTTTGATTAATATAATATTATATACCTTGTGAGTATTATTTTAATAATAATTTCTAATCAGATGATTAATTATTTTCTTATTATTAAAATATTTCCTATGGTCGTAAACGATTGTTATTTTTATTTTCCTTTGTTCTATCTGGCGGAATCGATAACGATCATAATGATCTTGATTTTAAATGACGCAGAAGATAAAAGAAAAAACACAAAACAATAAGAAGAAGTAGAGACAAAAAATCCTTGGAAAATCCTAATTGGATAAATATAATTATACTATTTTCTAATTCGCATCTAACATACGTTTTAATAATACGTTGTAAATATCTAGATCTATTTGATTGATACGTGGAACATTAAAAGTATACTTCGCTAATAAAAGATGAAGTATTACCGAAGTAAAAATTATGATAATTAAATATCTTTGTATATACCTTTTATCTAGATAAAATTTATGGAAGATATTGGATGTATATATCGATTAATGTATCGGCGATCAGTCAATGTGTTAAACGAATATCAACATTAAAACGATGGCGTATAATAGTTTGTTAAAAAAAAAAAAAAAAAGAAAAAAATTATTACAATTCCTTTGATTATTTCTAATCCTGTCTTTAATCCCTATTTTGAATATGAAGAAAAAGAATCCAATTAATTTCGAAGCTTTTAGGATCCTTCAAATAATTATTACGAAATAATCTTACTTACATGATCAGCTGATCGGATGAAACAGGCATTATACTAAAATAATTGTTGACTTTTTCTCTCTCTCTCTCTCTCTCTCTCTCTCTCTCTCTCTCTCTCTCTCTCTCTGTTACCGAGCGATTCGTCCATTCGGTTATTTATGTACAGTAATCCATTTATCCTTGCTAGAAAGTTCCATCGTCGAAGATTTCGTCGATACAGGAATGACCTAAAATAAAAATCAATTTTATCAATATAAGGAACAACAATGGACAATGACTTATCCATCCTTACGAAAATTTATATCTTCTTATTTAAAATATTTCAATGTTTTTTTTACTATTATATTTGAGCACGTTGTTAAAAGTAACATATAACTTTCTCCTAATTTATCTTAAAACCTTTAAAAAGAGAAATGCAATTGGCCTTGGATCGAAACTATTGTATGTTAAACAAATTTAACAGGTTTTAAAATGTTTCATAAAATTTTCCTCTATCATTACGAATAATACTATTTAAAAAAGATCAAATCATAAATCATATATTATAGAAATTCGAAATACCTGACGAAATTTGTCTATATATACAGTCGAAGTATTAGTAAGAAATAAGTTAGTTCACGATGAGTTTCCACGGCATGAAAATGATGTTCCATATCGTGCTCCTTCTGACAATATTTCGGGAGTGTTATAGTTATATCAATATAGTGAGAGTTCATGCAAATATTTCGACGTATTACGAAAGTAATAATCATGGAATTGCGAAAGGAAAAATCACGGAGTTTACGGATAAAAATATTTCAAACGAAGGTAAATAATAATCTATTAATAATTATATATGTGTAAGCAATAATATATAACAAATATAAAAGTATACATTTGTTATTAAAATATATTATGTATATGTACAAAAATATATTGTATATATATGTATATATATATATATATATATATTTGTCATTATATAAATATCTAATATCGCTAAGACATTAAGACCATCTTAAATAAATCTACTTTTCGTTGATACAAGATACAAGAATAACAGGCGGAGAATACGCAACCGAAAGACAATTTCCTTTCATCAGTGTCGTACACCGACTCGTTGGTAATGGAGTGATCTCTCAATGTGGCGGAAGTATCCTATCGAAACGATGGGTATTAACAGCAGGCCACTGTATCGCAGAGTCGCCTCACAAATTTTTTCTCGTTTTTGGTATTATCGACAAGTCTGGTATCAGATACGATAAAAACTTTGGTCCTGGAATTTCGATGATTACAACACGAGCGTACCTTCATCCAAGATATATAGAAGCTATCAATGACATTGGATTATTATACATGCCTAAAGATATTCCTTTTACAAGTAATTAAAAATAATAACAATAATAATAATAATAATAATAATAATAATAATAATAATAATAATAATAATTAATTAGCAACTTATACTATAATTTACATTTAATGCACGTTCGTTTCTAACGAAATATAAATTAATTATATTATTTGTAAATTATTATAGACTCGATTCAACCTATTTCACTTGCTGGTTATAATGATCTATACAAGAGTTACGAACATGCAACAGCAATCGTTATCGGATGGGGTAAAGAGAGAGCCACTGGTTCCACTTCTCAAGCTTTGAAATATGCTCGACTGTCGGTAATTACTAACAGAGAATGTAGATTACATTGGCAAATAGACCAGAGAAATATTTGTACAGCATTTGGTTCTGGTCAACACGCTTGCCAAGTTAGTAATCGACCTATGATAATACTGCGCATATTAAAATCCACATACATATATATATATATTATTACTATTACTATTATTATACTAATAATTCTTCTAGGGTGATAGCGGTGGTCCTCTTATCGTGCAAACTACGAATAAACAATATATTCAAATTGGGATTGTAAGTTATGGCGATGCTAATTGTCCCAGTAATAAACCTGGTGTATTCACAAGAGTAGCTGCATTCAGTACGTGGATCAATTTGATCACTAGAATACGATATTAAATTGCTTATATTATTATATATACGTACATATATACATATATACCAGAATAATTTGTATTAGACAAAAATGTTGCAAATATATGAAATATTCAATTATATATTGATAACAAATACCAAATTGCTTACACACATCATTGTATATATATATATATATATATATATATATATATATATATATATATACGAATAATTTTTAATAGGCCTATACTTAATGCATGAAAAAATTAAATTATAGATTAAATAATTCATTAATATCAAATACGATTAATTTATAGGTTATCTTACCTATTAAGATTCTTCTATAATTGAGATAAAATAGGAATATTAAAAGAGGATAGAATAGAATTAGAAATTCATTGAGCTAAACTACGATGTTTACAGGACGAAGTACGCTAACGAAATGAAAGATCGTACGCAGTATGCCGAGATAGGTTAAACGCTCGATTGTTTACATTTGCGAAACATTGCCGGCTTGTGTTCGTTACCGGTACAGTTTGTATACATATATATATATATATATGTTATACACTCGACCTATAAGAATGTATACAAATTTTACGAAAAAGATATATAAAAGTAATAATAATATTTAATACGATTAAAATTTGTCTATCCTTGACGTTATTACATTAATTCTCAAAATGATTTATATCGAATCTGTCGATTCGATCGTAATAATTTATAAAGAAAATTTTCAAGGCCAATTAATGGCGTCGAAAAACGGTTAACTAGAACGAACGGTAATTAAACGATAAAAAAAAGGAATAAACGTATTGTAATCGCGATTGTCATGATTAAACTATGATACTTACAATTCCTAACATGTTATTCTTCTCGATTAATGGAGAATAGTCGGGATATTGTACTTTTGGAAATGATAATTCCAAAAATTCTAACGAGCTCAAGAAAAATTCGAACAGGTTGAATAGCGGGAGACACCGGAAAAGAAAGAGAAGAAGGTTTAATGGTGGGAGGTTACGATATTAGTCAATTGATCGTTCAATTTATTCGATAATCGATCGATCATATTAATTTATTATCGCACATGTATTAATATAAAATCATTAATATTAAGAGATATCTAAAAAGAATATCTATTTTATATTCTAAAATTGTTATTAATATCGATCAAAGAATATAATTGAGAAAATATATAATTATTACGTTTAATCGTTCGTTTGATTGTTTTACGCAATATAATAATTCGCGCATTGTTAAAATTCGATATCCTAGAGTGCGCTGTAAAGAGAGAATATCCTACTGTCGGTAATACAGTTTCATTTACTCTTTCAAATCTTTGCTCTACTTGCCATGTTAGAACTATCCAAAGTAGATACACTCATACATAAACACATTCATACATATATATATATATATAACATATATCTTATATAGATTTTTGTTCCCCTCCTTCTACCACTTTACTTCGTGTTCTCTCTACAAACGTACATAGATCTCGCTCTTCTTTCCCCTACTTCCTATAATCGTTCTCGCGATGAGCTTTAATCTTCTGTTATTCGCGGCAATTTCGAAGTGGACCATTTCATATTCTCGACATAATGAGCCGGCAATTTGAATGACTGGAAAAACGAGTTTGACGATCGATCGTTAAAAGTATTCGCGCGTGTAGTGTATCTTGTGCCATTTTTAAATCAAAACCAATCGAAATATTAATAATCAGATTTAAGTATTAATCTTCACTGTCATCGTGCAATAGTCCAAGTATTATCGTACCTTTCTTTTTCTCTCTCGCACACACACGGATACATATACACACACAGGCGCGCTCACTCATCATTCGTTCATACTACACGTACAAGATATATATATATATATATATATATATATATATATATATGTATATATATGTATATATAAAGAAAGACCGTTCGTCTAATTTGTGTGGTGAAGTCCGTTAACAACCGTTCGGTGTTCCATTAAATAACGTTCCATAGGCCGCTCGTGCGGCTCGGTATGGGTATCTGTTTCTGCTTAAATTAGTGCACAGTGCGTGCCACAGCCTTACTCAACTCGAACTCTCCGCTCCTCGTCTAACCAAAGCCGAATCATTATGCCAGTGATAATACGTCGTTGCCTGTTGCTGTCCCGCTGTTACGCGTTCGATATCAAAGGGAAAGGTATATATCACATTTTGAAATATTGTTATTTCTATTGATTATAACAAAGTTATAATATTATATTTCTCATAATAAATTTGGTAACGTTCAACGTCAAAGGGCGTAGACGCTCCTTGTGGTCCAAAAGGGATAACAGTGCAGTGATTTGTTTTTGTAGCATGAGTTCTCTCATTCACAGGGAGGGGGAAGATTTTTTTCTTTTCTTCACTCTTTTTCCTTTCCTTTTTTCTTTCTTTTCTCCCCTCTCCGTAGATCCTCTTTTGAAAAAAAAAAAAAAAAAGAACACAGTACTAAAGTAAGTTTGTTTCTTCTTTTATTCAAGAATGTTTCCACTTGAAGACATTTGACTTACATATTATTAGTGCAATTATGGTGAAGTCAATTTGATAATAAAAATAATCAATTGAGATGACACGCTAAAGTGGTGTAATTGAATATAAGTTTGTTAACAAATTCAACAAAATAAGAGAATTTACAAAAGTATTATTGTGATTTGTTATCTTTATATATTTTCCCAAGGATAAATACTCTAAAATTCTTGATATTTTTTTCTTGCAATTGATTACTTGCATACTTTTTAAGGTTTATATTAGATCAATAGTCTTACCTGAAAGAGTATGATAATTGACAACAATTAACAACTTGACAACAATAGGATGCAACGAGGTCAGTTGAGAGATATTTCCTCCTGGATGACTCGTCTGTTTCCTGAACCCAGCGAGAGAATGGAGGCTTTTAAAATGTTTGGATCAAAAACAAGCTGTCCTACCAGTACATTTTATACAGATTTAGAGATAACCGAAAGCAAAGATGTAGTTACAGAAGAATACGAAGAAGAACAATGTTCTAAAACTTCACGATCATTGAAGCAACAGAGTGGAACTAACGAAGATGGAAACTCTCAAGATTTGGATATACAAACTAATACGGAAGATCATCAATATTCAAGACATTCCTTTCATAGAATTGCAAGTTTTGGAGGTTTTCCAAGGTTTCAACCATTCGTTATGTCAGCCTCTTCTCCAGCAGCATGCATTGATATCGGTAGAAATGAAGAGACATCCAAAGAAACTTCCTATGTTGCAATGTCCCACAGTGTTTTAGAATATAGAAGTAGCAGGTTCGAATCATTTTTTTTATCATTCCTTAATAATATTTATAAATACTTTATTTTCTTAGTCTAATCTTACTAAATCTTTAATAACATTACATTATGCTTAAATGAAATATTTTTTTCTTTCATTCATTAATCTCTTTCATTTTGTTTAATTGCAATAGGTATGCGGCATCTGAAAGAAATTCTCATCAATATACATTAGATCCATACGCTATCAGTGAATCTGAAAGCGAAGAAGAATCAGAGGAGACTAGATCTTCTGAAACAGAATCTATTATAGCTGTGGATCAGACAGATGAATCTACATCCGAGCCAAAATTACGCGTACAAAGAGGTTCTCCTGATTCAAAAAGGAAAAAAGCACGTCGTGTAGCAGAAGAGTTATTAGCAACTGAAAAGAAATATGTTAACATATTACACCTCATTGATCAAGTATTTCAATTCAGAGTTGATCAAGAAAATAGAGCACATCCCATGTTTCCACCTGAAACAGTTCAACACATGTTTTCAAATATCAAATCTATTTACAAATTTCACAATGACTTTTTATTACCTCAATTGGAAGAAAGAATGCAATGCTGGGATTCTAACCCTAGAATTGGAGATATCATGAAAAATTTTGCACCTTTTTTAAAAATGTACACAGAGTATGTAAAAAATTTTGATTACGCAATGAATCTGATAAATACATTGCAAAGCAAAGTCGCAAGATTTGCAGCAATAATTAATGATATACAAAAATTGGATGAATGCGCTAAATTGTCACTGCCACATCACATGTTAAGTCCAATACAAAGATTACCAAGATACGAATTACTCCTTAAAGATTATTTAAAAAATCTCACTGAAGAAAATTCAGATTATGAAGACACAAAAAGTAAGGTTATATTCAAACATTCAAGAAAAGAAAAAAAAAATATATATATATATATACATATGTATATGTTAATATCAACTATGATACAAAATAAATTTATTAATTATATTTCAGAAGCTTTAGAATTAGTATCTACTGCTGCTAATCATACAAACGAAGCAATGAAAAAAATAGATAAATTTAAGAAACTTTTGGAAATACAAGAAAGTATATATGACGCGACCGATCTAGTCAGTGCAACACGCGAACTTATTAAAGAAGGTCGTATCGTCAAAATTTCAGCGAGAAGTGGTGATCATCAGGATAGACATTTGTTTTTGGTATGTTACTATAAAGGTAGATCTTATTACATTTCATATAATCTAAAATATGAAATATATTTATATACTCTATGCTTTCAGTTTAGTGATCTATTGTTATTGTGTTCATTAAGACTGATACCTGGTCCTCCATATCGTTTACGAGCCAAATTTTTAGTCGAAGATTTACAAGTAGTTGAAGGTGATAATTTAGAAACTGCAAATACTTTTTATATTAGAGATGAAAATAAAAGCGTGGAGTTGTATACACATTCAGCGGCAGAGAAAGCTTCGTGGTTAGACGCATTATTTCAAACTATGCAGGAAATAATGAGAAGAAAAGCTAGTTTGAAAACTGGTAATGCTAAAACATCTTTAGTTAAAGCTGACGATGTGACTAGATGTATGGTTTGCGAAGTAATTTTTTCAGTCATGAAAAGGAAACACAATTGTAGAGCATGTGGAATTGTAAGTTGTATTGTACAAAAATTACATCATCGATCCGTATACAATCACGTATATCTACATATATCTATCTATGTATATATATATATATATATACATATACATTTCTTTAAAAATTTATATACAAAATTATTGTTGTTACAGGTTGTTTGTAGTAAATGTTCAAATCAAAAGTTATTATTTGAAGACAATAAGAATATGAGAGTATGTAGACTATGTCACGCTGCTCTAACTCAACCTCTTAGCAAATCTCCGTCGTCTCCGTCAGGACCAGTGCCAAGCTTGTTGCAAGTTTCAGCAAGTGCATCATCAGTATTGTCTGGTTATCTTTTATTAAAAACCCAAGCAAGCAAACCTTGGACCAGACGATGGTTTGCGTTGCATATCGACTTTGTTTTATATTCTTTTAAATCAGAAACAGAGAGTATGGCCATGACAGCAACACCTATGCCAGGTTTTATGGTAACGGACGGTGCAATGTTAACAGACGAGGATCCTTTAAGTAGCAAGGATCGTATAAGAGCATTTAAAATGCATCACTCTAGGAAATATTATTATCTGCAAGCTTCTTCCGAAAACGACAAAGAAAAGTACGTATCTAATAACATTGTCGATATCGAAAAATAACATTAATTAATTAATTTAAAAACACAAAAAAAAAGAAAATTTATAAAATATTTCCAGATGGATGCATGCATTGCAATTAGCTACAAAAGCTGAACTACCTCATTTAACTGAGATTGAACAGGACGAACACGCACAAGAATGTCAATCGTTAAACGATATACAATGAAAATTTATATCTTTGCATCTACAAACTAGCCAATTTTGTACTATCCTTTTCGTAAATTAGGTAATAGGAATCTGTAAAATAATCGTTAGTTAGCTATATTTAAAAAAGAAAAAAGAAAAAAAAATAACGTTAACTTATGTTATATATATATATTGTTATTAGTGTACACTACGATCGAAGTCAATAGCGAGACGAAACGCTGTCATGACGCTTGTTGTTTTGTAATGTTCTGTTATAGTATATTTATAAAAATATATATATGTCGTTTAAATACAATATGCTACATATATATGCCGATAATAATTGAAAAAAAGAGATATTGATCAATCGATCGATCTTTAGAGAAAATAAATCGCTTAAATGCTAACTATCATGTCTAAATAAATAACGCAAGTCGAAGAATCGGTTTTATCACGAGAGTAACAATTTTATCGATAAATATCTTATTTCGTAACGTCGAATCTTATATCTCGCTATTTTAATAATTAACTATTCGCGTATAATATATACACTCTGATTTAGAGAGATTGAGAGAGAGAGAGAGAGAGAGAGAGAGAGAGAGAGAGAGAGAGAGAGAGAGAGAGAGAGAGAGAGAGAGAGAGAGAGAGAGAGAGAGAGAGAGAGAGAGAAAGAGAGAGAGAGAGAGAGAGAGAGAGAGAATAGCGTTCTATTGTAGTATATACATTATTGTATATCTTGTCAACGATTTTGAAGAAAAACTATTTGAAGAAAAAAAATACAGATTTATAAGAAGATCATATTAACTATCTTTATTCGTACGTCTTTTTAAATGCACGTGTACTCCACTCGCCGCATTCGTGAATACAGTTAAAGGACTAAATACATTTTTCTTATTATGGTTGAGAGACATTTTATAATGCATGACCAATGTGGTCACTGCTATCTTTGTTATTAAAATTCCTAGTCTCTGACCTAAAAAGATTAGAATGAGAAATAAAATAGAAAAAGAAAGAAAGAATGAAATAAAGAAAATTATAGTCACTTAAAAGGAAGGGGAAAAAAAAGATAATGATAAACTTACCAACGCATGATCTTGGCCCAATACCAAAAGCAAGACAACCAGTAGAATTGTATTTTTCGTCTTTCTCTCTCAAAGGATTGAACTGAATTGGATTAGAAAAGTATTTGCTGTCTGTGTTAATGCCATTAAGAGAAATATAAACAGGTGTATCTTTCTTTATTGTCAAATCCGTCCCAGGCAGCTAAATATATAGGAATGATATATGATTATTACTATAGAATCCAACGAAATATATATGTATATATATTATACCTTATAATCTCTCAAGGTATTCCTATCAATTACTGGCAAAGGAGGATAAAGTCTCAAAGTTTCTTCTAATACAGCATCCAAGAAGGTCATCTCGTTTAAAGCCTCTATCGTAATTTCGTCATCTTTAATGATACTTTTTATCTCATTATACAAACGTTCTTCGTATTCTGGATGAGAGGCTAACTCGTAAAGAGCAAATGTAATAGCCGTCGAAGATGCTTCAAATCCGGCAATGTAGAAAGCAACTGCTTGGGCCAATAGATTATCACCTTCGAACTCTGTCAAAAAAAAAAAAAAATAAAAGAAAAAACAATTCAATGGAAAATGATCAAACAATCAAATCAATGAAGGATCGAAGAGGAAGGGAGCAAGGGAGAGAGAGAGAGAAAGAGAGAGAGAGACGAATTAAAAATCATTGGAAAATCGACTCACTAAAGTTAGACGTCTGTTCTCCTTTCTTCAAAATTAATAAAGAATCTATCAGATCTTCTCTCTTATAACCAATTTGTTCACGAGTGTTCATAGAGTCCCAAAATACACGACGAAAGAATTCAGCTGGACTTTTGCTGAATGGTTCAATAAAAGTCATAATTTCTGGTAAGTAGAAAAGTATTATGAGGATAATACCACGCTTTGATCCAGTCAATATCTTCTGTCCTATTTAATTTATAAATGATATTTATATTAATTATCATATATTAATGTAATACACCGATACCTTTTTTCTTTTTTCCGAATAAAAAAATCAAGGATTAATTTCTTTTCTTTTTTTCGAATAAATATCTACCTGCTTCCCAAAATGCAGTATCATTTTCGTTGAATGAATTAGTCGTTATACCGAAAGCCAACGATGAGATAACATCTGTAGTATATTTTGAACTTAAAATTTTCAACTCGAACTCTTTCCAATCATCAGCTTTCGCTAGTTTATTGTCAATATATTCCAACATTGGATTACTACATTCTAATATCAATGGAATCATTTTCTTCAACTTCTGTCCCGTTAAAATAGGTGTTATCTTAGTTCTCAGATATTTCCAGTTTGGTTGATTGATGCCAAGAAGATTAATTAAACCAACTGAATCCTTTTCGTTCTTTCCTCCGAACATTCGATCGGAAAACACGTTAAAATCCTTCACCAGAATTTGTTTTATTAGCCTCATATCTCTAATCATCAGAGCTGGCTTATGGAAAATGTAGAAACCAATGTATGGATCGTCGTCACGGTCACCAAAATTATATATATTTTGGAGTACCACTCCTGCTGGATTTTTAAGCATTATAATGTCCTTAAAGTTACCAAATATCAAATGAATCGGTGGACATTTTACTCCGAGTCTATTCCAATATGATAATTTATATTTTGCGTACAAAAATAATGTAATTAATGATAAAAATAATATGGTAATGAAATGATTTATATCAATCGAATATCCAAGCATGATGGAATATTCTTTTTCTTCCCCTTGTCTCCTTATTCTTTTATTTATTTATATATATGTATATTTTTGAATTTTTCCTTTATTTTTAATCCTTCGACATAAAAGGAATACCTGTTGAAAAATAAAAAATTTATGTATCTATATATATATATATATATATATATATATATATATATATATATATATATATATGAAAAACATGATATGGTTATCTATAGGAAGAATAACTTGAGAAATTTATAGCTCAAACGTGTGCGAAATTTATATATACACACTGAAATTCATATTTAGTTATTTTGTCAAAAAAAAACAAACAAACAAACAAACAAAATCGTTGTGAAGTAAATAAAAAGAAATAATAATTACAAAAGGATTGAGAGAGGAGAGAAAGAGAAAGAGAGTGAGGGAGAGAGAGAGAGAGAGAGAGAGAGAGAGAGAGAGAGAGAGAGAGAGAGAGAGAGAGAGAGAGAGAACGAGAGAACATACCTTAAAATAGTTTTCACGTAATTATAGGTAATACTCCTTTTAAAGTAAAATTCAAAGAGAGCGTTTTAATGACCGACGTTCTTTTAAAGACGTTTTGAACTAATAGAATCAATTGTGGAGCAACTTTATATATGCTTCCTGAATATATATGTGTATGTGTCTATTTATATGTCTCTTATGGAATTTTTTGAAGAATTGTAAAAAATCGGCGAAATTCAAACAACTAAAGGAGAGAGATTTATCAGAGACACGCAGAACGTTTAATGAAATGTTGCCGACTATCTTCTCTTTCATAAAATTTGATATTTAATCGTATAAATTTATTTGATGACCGGAAATATTAGATAAGAAACATTAATAAGATAACGATTCATCATTTATCATTTAGATTATTATTAACACTTGAATACATCTCTTAAGATTATACAGAATATTTAAAGATGTTTATTAATAAATTCAAATGCTTTTATTTTCTTTCCTTTTACTTGTATTTTATAAATTGATCATAGTATTATATATAAAAAAAAACAAGAATGATAAAATAATCTTATTATATTAAGTATTATGATATCTTCAAAATCTAATTTGTTGATAGTATTAAAATAAATATTAACGAATGATATTTAAATATTTCAATTAGGAATAAAATGAGAATTGAAGAATATCATTGAAAAGTATATAAAGAAAAATATATTCCTTCTAAGATTGATGATTCATAAGTAATAAACATTTGTTGTTCTTTAAGAAAAAAAAAATCTTCATACAAATAATTATTGAGTCAGTTTGGTTTATATAACTTTATCGATATTTTAAATTATATATCGTAAATAAATAAATTGTTAATGTATATTCATTTATTATGCATTTTTCTTCTTCGTATCTTATTTTCATTTCTTATATCTGAAAAAGTGTTTCATATAAAAAAAAAAAAAAAGAAAGGAAAAAGAAAAAGAAATAAATTTATCTTTTACAAGATAGCTAGCAATACATCGATCAATATTTATATATATGTATATAAATATATTCATATGATAAGAAAAATATTACATTTATCTTTCTCTAGATGACAAATTACCTCAAACTTTCGTATACAAGTTGTTATAAAAACATGTTTGTCACCGTAAGAATGTTAAAAAGGACACATAATCATGGATCCGAATATGGTTTCTATTTGAGTTAAACATATTTTATTTATAAAAGACATTAAGAACATTTGAAACTATTATAAAATATCATTAAAGAAAGTGGAACAAATAATTTACTTCTGTAATTCGACGAGCATCGACGTGATCAATTAATAGGTATTGTCATAGACATTAAAATATATATTTTGTATTATTTCGCACGAAACTATTTTGGAAATATTTCTACAATAACAACAGAGTATGTTATCTTACGTAAATAAAAAATGTTTATACCTTGTAAAAATAAACGTTTTCGAATGTTTACATGACTTTGTTTCCTCCTTACAGCGAATAGAGTTTACACTTAAAGAGTTTCGCGATAGATTTCTGAAATATCCTGTATATATATATATATACATATTTATTTGTACGTATTATATATATATATATAATATATATATGTATATAAATATATAAACAATCGAATTAAATTATTCATTGTCTTTTCTCAAAAATGTATTGAACTTTCAATAATGCGCATGCGCTTATTAAAATGCACGTAAATATAATTTTCGGCCGATAGATGGCAGTTATATCGAATGATGCGAACGCAGTATACATAACCTTTGTCTCTTGCGTGATTTTATTTAAAGCGCATCACAAATTTTCTTAACATTGATTTTATGTTAGATTCATTTTCAACGAATTGTATACGCGATCGGAATAATTAAAATTATTAAATTCAATCGGAATGGAAATGATTCGATCGTCAATAACGATC